ATTTCCTATGAAGTAGTAGAAATTATAATGGGTCGGTTCTGTATGAATCAACACTAAAAACGACATTCAAAACCAAGCCCACGATTGTAACAAAATCAAACAACCTCCAATTACTTGTTTGTTCAGATGAACAACTTTACATAACTCCCGGAACAAAAAGGCCAACAATGTCGATTCCTAACTCTTACTTCTAGCATCTCGTAAAATACATAGATGATACAACCACATCAAATGCACTTTGTTTCAGGATTTATCAGGCATCAAGATCCCTAATAACTTGTAAAATATAAGCACGAACAAATTGCTGTAAAATAAAAATGATGCGAATAGATTACAAATTTATCTTCAAAAAATTACAATAACATAAACTAAAACAAAATTCCAATATTATAAATAAATAAATAAAAATAAATAAAATAGATTTAAAAATTATCTGTTTAATTTTCGGAGCATCATCGGCGGATAGCTGCGAAAAGTTATCTTCCAAAAATTTAATATAGATTTTCCCTCCATCCAAATCGTCCCCTGTCGGTGTAAGTCCGAGCAGTTCCTCACACAAGCTTTCCCAGTCTCCATGAGCAATACCGATAATAGGATTTATGTCAACATGAAGCCCAAGATGGTATGTGACATCTTCAAGGGTAATAGTCGCCTCTCCATAAGGGAAATGAAACATGTGCGTCTCCGGTCTCCACAGTTATAGTGAAGTGTTTATCAATGGAGGATGCAACTTCGTACAACCAATTACAGTGCTAACGTAACCAAAATTGACTTTTTACAAATATGAAATAATGTCGGCATTAAGGCTCGGGAAACGGTTTATATAACAAGTTAACGAACATTCCCTTCAAATAAATAGATAAATTCGAAACAAATAAATAAATTATTCTAATTAAATTATTACATAAATAAATAAATTATTTAAAATAAATATATAATTAAAGTAAATAAATAAATAAAAATTACCTCTGGATTTGTCCACCAATAATCTTATACATGCGGAAGATCAACCTTCAAGAATCCCGCTATGATAATATCAGAGAGAAAATATGTGAGAGATTTTTTTTGAGTAAAGGTGTGAGAAATTTCGGGTAGGTCCCCTATTTATAATCATCCTCACACTATCCTCGAAGCGAGGTTAAAGATACCTTGCATTTTATGAAGCGTGAGGTTCAGAGAATATTTTCAAATTTAAAATTTCAAATATTTCACGAACTATAATTTCTCAATATCTCGAGAACCTCACATTATGCTAACTCACGAGATATTAAATAACCCTATTAAATTGCATCCTCTGAAAATTTGTGTCATACCTCACATCCTGTAAAAAGTAGGATACATCCTTACGTTTGGTAGGATGCGAGTTAGTCCTACGTGTACAATTTAAAGGTATTTTTCTAACAAATCTATTAAAAAATGATATTATTCAAAAATAATTAAAGGTGTTTTTTAATATAATAATGCCCATATTTTCAGTATGATGGTTATGGACATAAAAATATTTTTTCAATAAAATAAACACCGAATTCTAAATAAAGAAACTTGAAAGCTTGTTGGAGAATTTTAGAGTTTAAAGATAACCTTCTATGCTGGCCGGTACGGTTGTTAGTGGAGATCTTAGGATTTTTGCTAATTTAGAGCAGAGTGATATGAGAGAATTATGGGAGAAGAGAACAAAGAAAGAAAAAAAATAAAGAATAAAATAAAAATATATATTTAAAATATTTCAGGTCGAAAGGAATCGAATATTTTTTTATCTTAAATCTAACTATGATTCAAATTTAATCATCACTCTCTCAAAACTCGTCTCGTCCCAAATCTGAATTTTATAGAGAAAACTGCTATTTTAAAATCGGGTCAAGTTAAAATCATTCGCGTTCGAATCTAGTTTGCATCCTTGAAGAAAACAAACTCAAATAGAGTTGGGAGTTGGAAATACATTTTTCTTATAAAATTTATGTTTTATTTTTATTATAGAATTATTTCTTTGTTGTACCATTTGGTTGCTCGATCTAGTTCTCATCCTTGAAAAGAACAAACATAAATAGAGTTGAGAGTTGGAAATACATTTTTCTCGTAAAATTTATGTTTTTTTTATTATAGAATTATTTCTTGTAAAATTATTTTTATTATAGAATTATTATAGAATTATGTTTTATTTTTCTTGTAAAATATATGTTTTATTTTAATTATAAAATTATACAATAGTTTAACTATTGAAAATTATAAAGTGACTTCAGTGGTAAAATAGAAAGATATTCGTCTTAAAGGTCTTGGGTTCAATCAGTTGCATTTCAATATGTAAAGAAAGTTTTGAACAAATAGTATGTTCTATTCACTTTAAACTATTAAAAATTTTGGTAAACTACAAAAATGGTCATTTTCGTTTCAGTTTTATGAATTTTTTCTTACTAAATTTAAAAAACATAAGATTTTAATTTGATTTTAATTAATATGTTGTCACAGAAAGTTAATAGTTGTTAAACCTTTAATGGTTTGCTGACGTGACACCGTAAATATTTAAAATTAAAATTACATCATTTCAATGTAGATAATACGTAGATTAAGTTTTGGTCAATTTTTTCCGTATTTGTACATTTTTAGTCACTTAAATTATCATTTTATCAAGTTTTAGTCACTTACGTTATCATTTTATTACGTTTTGGTCACTTGAAAATGAGACACTCGGAGGCCGGTGCGGTGATGATGGTGTTACAGATCACATATGCCTAGGGGTTAACGATGATTCATAGGGATCTAGAATAAAAAAAAATTGTTGTTCTTGAGCAAAAACAAAGATTTGACGGTTAAGATCATGGATCTTGGATTGAGTTCAGTGGATGAATTCATGTATCCACTTATTGGGTTGTTTGAATCCATTGATTATGTTTCATCGGAGGTGCTTGCTCAAGGGAAAATCACCACGAAGAGTGATATCTTGTTATCATATTATTTGAGTCTATTGCGTTGTCTTCTTGTTCCTTGTTGGATTTGGTATTTTGCAATCTCAATCTTTAAAAATTGAATTTTATTTTGTATAACTAAGATTATCAAGCTTCATTTTATCTCTATATGTCTGCCTTCTCAATTTTCTCTAAACTTGTGGCATTATTGTTTATTAACGAGAGTTAAAAATCTTTCATTAATCTTAAAATGTAGTATGAGTCCTTGAAATCAGGCAAATGGAACAATAGAGTAATGAAGCAGAGATGTATGAAGAAAAAGTAAGGAGAATGTTGAGTCAATCGAACCAATGAAATGGACAAAAGGGGTGAATTTGCAATTAAAAGATTGATGGGAGCTTTTACCAAGAAAATGAAAATTTTGATACAAACAATTTTAGAGTTGTCCAACTTCTTCAATGAAGTCTAGATCCACTATCTTAGCTACCACACTAAGGATTTGAACAAATTCACTAATTTGTTCAAACCTTTTAGGACAAGGGGTAACCTTACAACACACTTAAAATTATGCCCCAAAATCTCAATTGTACAACAGTTCTTAAGAAGAAAGTACAACTAGAAAACTTAAAAAATCTCTCACAAGGAATATGTTTGCACAATTCAGAACAAACAGAACACTTGAAAGAATGAAACAAAAAAGTACAAAAGTGTTCTTGAAAGCAAAAAGGATGTTTGAGAATATTGACTTGAATTTTTTACTCTTTGTGCTTGCTTTTGCTTTCTCTTTGATCTCTTGTCTTCACATATGGTTTGGAATCTTGTTTTATACCATTTCATTCAATTCTATATGTTTGGGTTGTTGTGTGAGTTAATAAAGTCGTTGGGATAAAATTTCCCGCAATAAATGCTACCCAGACACCTTGAGTACCGATACTCATACTTGGAATATCGGTTCTACCTGCATTAAATACAAGAAATCTAACCATTGGGAGAGGGGAGTATTGGTACTCCAACATGTGTATGGTATCAATACTTTCACAATATCGGTACCAAAATCAACTACTGGAATTTGCATTTGCAAAAAACTTAAAGGGAGTATCGGTACTCTTATTAGGAATATCGTTACTACTGTGTTTTTTAGGCAATTAATATTGGTACTGTATCGATATCACATGAACATTATCGATACTTTTCTTGCAGTATCGGTACTGCATGGCTAAAAATCGTTTTTTAACTTGATTAAAATTTGAAACCCTTTGTAAAATTTTTTACCAGTATATGACTCAATTTTTTCAATAAAGTAAAGAGTAAAATGAGTTTTTGACCCTAAAAAGAATTTTTATATTCAAATGTCTAAATTAAATATAATCTTAATTTAAAAAAAATATTAATTAATTTTTAATAAATCAAAATATCAAAGTATGTTCAACAGAGAATATGAACAATAATGGGGTTGGGAAGAAAACTTACTAAAAATGGATAAAATAAAACGTTGTCCCTAAACTAATTTCAATTTATAAAAAAGACTCATAATCAGTATTTTGTCTGAAGTATATGGATTCAAATAAAAATTAAACTATTTTACTAACGGGTCACGTCATAAAACTAACGACATTCAACGTCCAATTAACCAAAATTTAATAAAATGATAACGTAAGTGACCAAAAGTGTACAAATTTGAAAAGAAAGTGTCTAAAATTTAATCCGCGTATTATCTACGTGAAAATGATGTAATATTAATTTTAAATATTTATCGTGTCACGCTAGTGAGTTGTTAAAGGTTTAACAACTGTTAACTTAAGTGACCATATCTTAATTAAAATGAAAAGAAAGTGACTAAATCTTAATTAAAATGAAAGTGACTAAATCTTAATTAAAATGAAAAGAAAGTGATCATATCTTATGTTTTTTAATTTAGTGAGGAAAAGTTTATAAAACTCAAACGAAAATGACCATTTATGTAGTTTACCAAAACAATTTAACGCGCGTAGAAATAAAGAAAAATGCAAGTATTGTGCGTATATTTCGTGTATGAAATTTTTCCAGCGGTAGCTGCAATCCATCTTCATATTTCTATATAAATCCCCGAATAGGGGTAATTGATTCACAGCTTCAGACCTCTTTACTCTTCAATAACAATGGATAGCCTTCTATTTCCCTCCATTTTCATCTTGCTTGCTTCTTTTCTCTTGCCAGCTGTAGTCAAAATAATAGGTAAAATGAAAACCATAGATTCGAACACGAAGCTGCCACCAGGACCATGGAAATTGCCCATTATAGGCAACCTCCATCAGCTAGTGAAATTCGGGTCCCAACCTCATCAGATTCTGAGAGATTTGGCCAATCAACATGGACCCTTAATGCACCTCCAGCTCGGTGAACTTTCCAACGTCGTCGTTTCATCAGCAGAGATGGCCAAAGATGTCCTGATAACAAATGGTGTTGTCTTTGCTGGAAGACCTTATGTGGCTGCTATAGATGCTGTTACTTATGGTTCCAGGGACATTTCCATGGCACCCTACGGCAATTACTGGAGACATGTACGGAAAATTTGTACGGTGGAGCTTTTAACAGCCAAAAGAGTGCAGTCGTTTGAATCAATCAGACAGGAAGAAGTTTCAGCACTTGTTAAATATATGTCTTCAAACCAAGGCTCGCCAGTCAATCTTAGCCAGCAGATTTTTTCATTGACATATAGGATCACATCTAAAGCAGCATTCGGCAACACAAGCAAGGGCCATGAATCATATTCAGATGTTGTGGATAAATTAGCAAAGCTGGGTTCTGGGTTTAGACTTGCAGACATGTACCCATCTTCTCGAGTGCTTCAACATATTAGTGGATTGAAGCAGGAAGTTCGGGCTTTGTTTCAGAAGAGCGATGAGATACTTCAAGGCATCATTAATGAACACAGGACCACACTGGAGACTGCAAAAACAGGTGAAGAAGAAGAAGCCAAAGAAGACTTGGTCACAGCTCTTTTGAAGATCCAACAACAAGGCGGCCTTGAATTTCCTCTAACTGACCAGGAAATCAAAGCAATCATTTTAGTTAGTATCTCCTTTTTGGTTCCATAAATATGCATATTTTACTTTAAAGCGTGAATTAATGTTGGGACATAATTTGTTAGGATATCTTCGCTGGAGGGGGTGAATCATCATCAACAACAGTAGAATGGGCAATGTCAGAAATGGTGAGAAATCCAAGGTTGTTAAAAAGGGCACAAAATGAGGTAAGACAAATCTGTCGTGAAAAAGGATATGTAGATGAAGCAAGTATTAAAGAACTAAAGTACTTGGCATTAGTTATCAAAGAAACCTTAAGGTTACACCCTCCATTTCCTTTGTTACTTCCACGAGAAAGTCGAGAGGATTGTGAAGTCAATGGATACCGAATTCCCTCCAAGACTAAAGTTATAATCAACGCATGGGCAGTAGGAAGAGATCCAAAGTTTTGGAGTGAGGCTGAAACATTTCATCCCGAAAGATTCTCCAACAATTCCATCGATTTCAAAGGAACGGATTTGAATTTCATTCCATTTGGTGCAGGAAGAAGAATGTGTCCAGGCATTTCATTTGCACTTCCTAACGTTGAGCTGCCTTTGGCAAAATTGCTTTTCCATTTTGATTGGAAACTTCCTAATGAAATGAAGAATGAAAATTTAGATATGACTGAGGATTTTGGTGTGACTATGAGTAGGAAAAATAATTTAATCTTAGTTCCAACCGAATGCACTTTGGTCTGAAGTGTTATTGGAATTGGTCCTTTTAGGGTTGAATGTACTCTTTTCCTCTATATAGATTTAGAGAGGTTTTTAACGAGGCATTATTCCTAGTTATTTATTAATAAAAGGACCTCTTGCTAAAAAAAATGTTGTAGACACTTTATACTTGTTATGTAGGATTCTCGGGATAACTTCTTATGTAAAATTAAGTTATTTCAGAATTAATTAAATAGAATAAAACAGATTATTCTTAGCTTGATATATATCATTTAATTGTTTTTTGTTGTTATTTCTCTAAAACAATATAACATCCTAAATTCTATTTAAAATTTCCGACGCTCTAAAAGAATCACATTCAAATTATCAAGGCGATTATCAGCTTAAATTTCAAATTAAATAATAAATAAAATCTAGAATAACATTGATATAAAAAGCAAACCTAATGCAACTATTCAACTAAAAGTACATACCAGAAGTAATGCAAGCCTATTAGCATAAATATGACAAGTTTACAACATACATCATATGTCGGAGTAAAACAAATCAAAATTTATAATTATGGACACATATTTATAATGTATATTATTATTATTATAAAATATTACATAAATTAAGTGACCAATTATATTATAAAGTTATAAGGTATTAAAAGTGTATTGGAAATAAAAATAGATACTATAAAGTTGTACTTATAATTTGATGAGAGATATAGTTATACAGACAATAACTAATTCTTAAATTTGCTTTATAAATTGGTTATGATCCTCAAACAGATAATCTCGTATTTAATCTTATCTCAGTTAGAGAGTTTATACTTAAGAGAACTTTATTTTTTTAAAACATCACAACTAAAGAAAGATTCAAATATTTTAATTTATCAATTAATTCAGGTTGATATTATTAAATCCTGATTAATTTTCATATTTATGATTTGGTAGTGTTATTAAAGTCTTGTCATTTTAAATCATTGAGAATTTATTAATAATATGTTAGGAATTGCGATGCTCTATCGATTAACGAAGATGGGATTTAGGGTTTAAGATTTTACCGAATTGATTATAATCAAATCTAATAGTAGATTTGATTTGATCAAATGACCGGAATAATACATGTGGGGAATATTTTTTTTCCCAATTTGCTTATATTTTAAGGTATAAAACCCTTAATTTATGTTTCACATCTGACGCGCATATATTTTTCCTTTTATTTGAAAAGGCGACCTTTAAATAGAGTTTTTTTAATAATAAAAAAACCCTACAATGCATCAGTAGTGATGCTAATATATTTATTAGAAATATATTGATTGTAATCAATGCAATTGTTTGACTTGGCTGCTTTCGTCAAGTTGAAATTTTTTCTGTAATTTTTATTTATGAAACTTTTAAGTTATTATATGAAAAACAAATTTATGAAACTTTTATTGCTGTAATTGTTTACCTTGGTTCGAATCGTCGCCGGAATCTCGACCGTCAGAGTCGAAGATCTAGATATTTAGAGGATCATTTAGGTTTTTGATTTAGAACGAGAGATGAGAGCCTTTAGAACTTGGTTTGGTTGCATTTGGTTCGCTCGACCACTGTTGGTGGTGGTCCGAGCAGGGAGTAGGGTCGATTACGACGGAGATGGCTTCTTAGGGGCTCTCAGTCGAATAGAGAGCTTAGGGAGGGATTTCTTGGTTGTTAGACTTCGTTTTTTGGTTTAGATGGGAAGATGAAGCGTTTAGGGGTGGTCAGAGTGAGCGACGGCCACCAAAATATGGTTGTGGACGGGGAGCTTTGGGAGTCAATGGTTTGGTCGGTTCAAGAAAATAAGAGAGTGGGAAGTGTTTTCTAAAAGGAGGATTTGCTTAAAGCGGCTAGGGTTTCATTGGGCTAGAGAAGATGGGCTTTATTTATGGACGTTTAGGCTAATTTGGTCCTTTTTACTTTCTTGTTTATTTCGACTGTACTGTTTTTGCTTGCTTTCTTTAGTTTTTTTTTATTATTATTTATTTTATTTTTCCATTGCATTTTAATCACCAACTTTCTAACTTATTAACCTACTAACTCCTAACATTAACCGCTAACCCTTTTTTATTCGAATCATTTGAGGACCTTGTGTTAAGCTACTCTAGACTAAGATTAACATTATTTATGGTATAGATAGAATTTTAAAGTAACTGCTCCCTTACTAACTACTAACTTAGTAACTTTATATTATCAAATTCGAATAGTTTGACGATCTTGTGGTGAGCTGCTCTGGGTTAAAATGCATATTATTTATGGTCCGGATAAAATTCTAAAATAACTGTTAATTTTTAATTACTAACCTTAAGTTTTGTTCGATTTACATTTTAACTATTTACATTTATACACTTCATTTTTTATTTGTTATTTACATCTTTGTCCTTTAATTTTATGTACTTTATTTTTCCCTTTAAATTTTCAGTACTTATATTTCAGTCCTTTTTTAAAATTCAACATTTATTTTTTTGTTTGTTTTTAATTTAAGCTTTACATTTTGTTGTATTTCATTTTAGCCCTTCATGTTGTTTATGAGCTTTATTTCATTTCTAGTAATTTACTTCATTTGCATTTAGTCCTTATACTTTACATAGTTGTAACACACACCTTAACTGATATTTAGATATATGTATATATGTACTTTATTTGTGTGAAGAATTTATGGGAATGCACCATAATTGACAAGGATCATGTTCCCTAGAGTCGTTCATACGAAGTTTGAGTGATAATTTTTTACATAATTTGTTTAAAAAAGATGAGCAATGTTATTTTGTGTGGAGAATCTATAAAAATGCGCCATAACTGACAAGGAAGGTATTTTCGAGTATTATTCGCACAAACTGATACCCCTTTTATTTTTCTAAAAATGAATCATAGTTTAAATATCATTCGAATTTACAATTTTCAAACATAAAGATGATGTATAATTGTATAGGTACTAATTTTGGACTTTGTGGGGTGCTCATCATTCTCCACATGTAATTGACTTCCGAGCCCTTTTCAAAACGAGTTTCTAGTCAAATACAAGCTAGTTTTATCTTTTAACCTAATTTTCTTTAAAAATTATTTTAAAAGATATTTTTAGGTATTCAACCTACCTAACTTAGAGGTCAATGACGACTCTAAATCATTTTTTTTCAAAACCTGGTCTATATGATCAATAATCTAGAGTAGCATAAGAATTTCATAAACATAAGCATGCTGAATACATGGTACTAAGTAGTAGGTACGTCCATGATCTAGATCAAGTGCTACGTACTTAAGGCTTAGTTTCCCTATCACTGAAGTATGGGCCTCATGATTCCCTAAATCCTCTCTAAGGGTTTAACTATGAGTATAGCGCTAAAGGGTCTCTAACCCTAATGTCTATAACTAATGGGCACTATCTAAATGCGATAATAATGCTCATGTACATTATCTGAATGTAATACTAACTTTGTGGTGCATTATTTGAATGTCATGCTAACTCTACTGTGCATTATTTGAATACAATATTGGCTCTACTGTGTATTATATTGCGTGATTTAAGTGCTTCAAAAATAGTGCAACTGTACACGCCGTAAGTTATAGTATAGAAAAGATATTGTCTCACAGGGATTGATGTAACTCTGTATTCTAACTTCTTTCACTATAAAAAGAAATAAATTGGTAATAGTAGGAATGTGCCAACTATCTGGAAAGTCTAAATAGTTGATGTTAGGCAACTAGATTGACTTGGCAACTGAAAATAATTCAATTGCCTTAGCAACTGGGTTCCTCCCTTTAAAGTTCAGTATAGCGTTCTTCAATGTCTTCTTGTTATCCCTAACTCAAAGAACTAGTTAATTGTGCATGCCTTGGTGATACATCCATGTATTAACCATGGGTGAACAATAACCGATCTTGCGCTCCTTTTAGCCATTGAAATCTAGATCTTATTCCTAAGATGAATTAACCTTTACCAATGTTCGTTCAAATAAAGATCATGCTCATTCATTTCTTGAATCTAAATCTCCCGATATTAGATAAATGGATAAACTCTCGAGATCCTATCCCAATTTACTCAAAATCAATTAAAGAACCAAGAATGAACAAACTTTGAATTTAAAACACAATCAAGAACTTAAACAAATCCAAAAGTTTTCACAACCACAAAAACCCAATAACCAAGTCAATTAAATTTAGTTCATGGCTGGGTGCAAAAAAGAAAACAAGATAAAGATATCCCAACAACATGAATCACGAAGAAATCAAGAAGAAATCAAAAGATGTGTGCCCAACTTTTCTCTCTCTCCTCCGCCCCTTTTCTTGTGATTTTGGTTATTGATTTATAGGAGATGATTAGGTCAAATTGGTTGTTGATGAGGATAAGTTTTAGTTGGAATAAAAGAGAGTAAATATTTTTTATCTTTATCGTAAAGCTCCTGCAAACTTGACTTCATTATCTCCTTAAAAGTCTGCGTGGAATTTTAACTTTTTAGGGCTCTCATTTTATTTGACATGATTATCTTGATAAGGTGAATTTATCCAGTCAGCATTATCCCACACACATTAACACACACCAGTAGTGTCTTTTTCACAAAAACCAACCAAAATGTAATATCAAACTTAATGGTGAAGGAAAATATGAAATCATGCATGAAAGACTAATAATGCAACTAAAATGGGCTCGAGTATAATAATAATTATGAGTAAAATGGTAGAAAATATAGTACTTTTATACACTTAACACACCCCTAAACTCAAACTATTACTTTCCCTCAAGCAATGCATGACATCCACTATTTCATAGCAATTAGATAACATCACTCTTACCCTTTCTTTGCACCTGTTACCTTAAAACCTTAGCAATTTTCTGCCAATCACCTTTAGATTTCAAGAAAATAGGAAATAAACTCAATTCAACATATCATGCTCGTGTAAGTGTGTGCTCTTAGTCGAAAAAGTTAACCACTGTGGGTATTTATAGAGAATATCAGAATTATCAAACTAATCAATAAGGAAAAAGATATCACATCAATTAATTATCTTAACTAGAGCTTCAGCTTATCACAACTACCTACAAGTACTTGAGTAGTAAGATGTTGTCAACAATGAACCCCCTATCCTTTTAGATAAAGTCATCCCATGAAGACTTTCATTCACTCATGCTATTCACGACTATCTTTCCTACTTAGTATTCACTATGCATATTGAATTT